CTCCTGAACTGTCTGCTCCGCCATGGCTCCACGAGCTCCCTGTTCCACCATGGCCCCCCGAGTTCTCTGCTCTGCCAGGGCTTCCCAAGCTCCCTACTCCGCCATGGCCCCCCAAGCTCCCTGCTACGCCATGGCTCCCCGAGCTCCCTGCTCCGCTGTGGGTCCCAGAATGGGCACCGCCCTGGAGGTCTTCCATCCAGTAACCCTGTCCCTAGAGGCCCTCCGGGGGGAGTAAATGTCAGTCTTTTGTTCCTGTGTCTTGTGTTTCCCTCCCTCATATGCCCATTTTTAGTCTTTCTGTTCCTGTACTCATTCTGTTTATTTGGTTCCAGCTGTGTTTTTCCTCATGTCATCATGTTCATTGTTTCCAGGTGTTCCCTCATTAGTTTCCATGTCTAGCACCGGCTGTTAAATGTCATCTCCTTGTTCACTCCATGTGTTTCTTCGTTTGATTCCTGTGGATTATTAAAGACTGTTATATTGCAATACTCCTGCGTCTCCTCGTTCCTCGCTCCTATGTGAGATTGTGATAGCAGGAAGATGACGAAATGAAACATTTGCAAATGTTTCCTTGTGCAGTACTGGCTGTTCTAGCGGTCACATACCTTTAGTGCTTCACTAAATATGTATCCTTCTTTAATAAGACAATCATAGAATGAACTGTGACAAGCTAAGAAATCCATCCATTTTCCAAATGGCTCACAAGGATGTTAAAACCATTGGGATGAGTAAGATGCATAGAATCCCATTGTCTTGGACCATGAACACCATGAAAACACCATGAAAAGATGGCCAGTCACACACAAATTCACACACACCTATGAACAATTTAGTGTATTGCATGTCTTTAATTGTGGGGGAAACTGGACCAAGCTGAGAAATATTGATTGTAAATGTACTTAAATTTCATTATTTAAAAAAGTAGGTAACACTTTATAGCTAGTATACAGTAATAAAGTAGTAAACAGTAATAAATCATTCATAAACTGTTATTTTGTAGTTAATTCATAGTTTCTAAATTGCAATCTTATATATTGTAGTTAATACATTAATAGCCCTATGTACAAATAGAGAATCCTTCATTAATTTACATACTAATTTACTTACATACAGGTGCATCTCAATAAATTAGAATGACATGGAAAAGTTCATTTATTTCAGTAATTCAACTTAAATTGATTGGTCTTATGAAGTATTCTAATTTGTTGAGATGGTGTGTTTTTGTTAAATGTGAGCCAAAATCATCACAATTAAAAGAACCAAAGACTTAAACTACTTCAGTCTGTGTGCACTGAATTTATTTAATACACAAGTTTCACAATTTGAGTTGAATTACTGAAATAAATGAACTTTTCCACGACATTCTAATTGCTCATAGAAAAGTAAAGTGCTCATAGTTAGCTCATATCTAACACACCTAACTTTCATTTCTTACATTTCTATTGGTTTAATATTTAATATAAATTTAAGCAGGTTTCATGTTAATAAAGTCTTAATTTTGTATTTGACACTACTCTAAAACATTTCTTCAAGAGCTATGAAACAATTCGAACAGTCTGCACAAGATGCACACCATACAACAGTATGTTATGTGACATGTGGACTGAACTATATTTGTGGGCCAAACAAGAATCTGTGCCTTCAACAACAGTTTGCCTCTTCAGAATCCCCCTGCTAAATCACATTAGCAAACAGAATTCTGCCTGTCCCAAAGCCAACACAGTGATTAGACTCATTTTTAGGTCTAGACAAACATCTTTCGAGAATTCAACATCTCACTGGGTTGTCCTTTCTTTCACCATGCCAAAATATACAGAGATTATATTTCCAATGGAAAAAAGTGTTGTATTTATACAAATCTTATACAGACCTGCTTCTCTCAAGTTAACGTCCAGTCAAGGATGTTAAAAGTCAACATGGAACTAAAGTTGAGACTGATTTTATAACCATATCACCATATGCATTTCTGAGTAAAACGGCTTATTCAACAAGAACTTGATTTTATCCAAAAAAATATATGGATGACTCATTCAAAAAAATTGCAGGGTTTTGATTAATGCTCCATAACATTTGGGGGGTTACCAGCTCTTTTTAGTCTCAATTATGGATTAAGATCTTTCAATAATATCAGAACCTTGATGTGATTTTTCAATACTCTTCACACAAAAAGCTCAGCTGATGATTAAACAGCACATTTTTCAAAACTCTAGCACTTTTTCATCTAATATGACTGTCATTTTCATTTTATAGAATTATACAACTGCTCAAAATTATAAAAAAAATGGTCGAATTTCTCCTAAAGCATAGTTTTCAAATACATTATCTATGGATGTGATTTTTCATCATTATTCTTTATCAGACACAGTTTCCATGATCCCATGTACTATTTTTCCAGACCATGATATTACTGTGATGCAGGCCCATTGTAATGAGAACCTGTGACCAAATGTTGTGATCTGATTACATTATCAATACCTTACATTTCTGAATTTGTTCAATGATTCACTGTAGTACTGTAATGAAACACATATCTCATATTTTGTACTACAATATTTAATGGTCAACTACACCGCAAAACTCTCGTTACTGTGTGTGGGTGATTTCAGTTAATGTTCTTGTGGGGTTTCATTCTTAATTATTTTGAACAAATGATTTTGCAAGTATTAGGCTTCTTTAAAGATATTACATTTACATTTAGTCATTTAGCAGAAGCTTTTATCCAAAGCGACTTACAAATTAGGACAATGGAAGCAATTAAAATCAACAACAGAGCAATATGCAAGTGCTATGACAAGTCTCAGTTAGCCTAATAGAATATGAACGCATGATACAGTGCATTTTGAAAAATTGAAAAAACAAAAAACAAAAAAACAAAAACAAAGATGAAATCTGAAATGAGTTATTTGTAAAAAAAAAAAATAATAATAATAATAAAAAGATCAAATAAATAAATAAAAAGAGCACACCCATCAACGTGCTTCATTCGGGTTATGAAACTTGTTGGAAGTGCTACACAGGACTTGTTCGAAAAGGATTTGTCATTTTGTTTTTAGACCACAAATTCTACAATGTCACCAAAGAAGTGCGGTTGTGAGGGAAAGATAACCTTGTTTAGCTTCCCAAAGAGTTAAGGGAACAGTGGATGCAGTTCATTTCTCCGGGGAAGCAACGGAGTTGTGCAAGTGTGTTTGTTTGTTCTTGGCATGTTCTACTCAAGATCAACATGAGATTGGCAGAAACTGTGTGTTATGTGCCCTTTAATGTCTTTTTGAAATGTCACTCTACTTGTGTGGTTGCCGAGGAGCCACATGAGCTAGTTTTAGGGATCCTATGTTGAGCTTGAGGCTATGGAGAGCCACCAGACAGTCTCTACTTCTCTCTCATAGGCAGAGAAAGATTATATTCCCCCATGGGTCAGGATGTTTACTTGACAAGAGTGGCTTGCAGCTGATCCTGGACTTGCATCTGCTGAACCTCAAACTGAGCACATGCAGTTTCAGAATATTGACACTAAAACACATATAGTCTCAGAGTTGAACAGGAGACTGATTCATAACTATTGATCTGAAAGATGCATATTCTATTTTCAGATTGTCTAGAAAGACACAAAATTTCTTAGGTTTGCCCTTTTGGCGGATTCTAGCACAGTCAGAAGAAAGAATAATTTCACATAGAGACTTGGTTCTTGATCTACCGAGGCTTGAAAGTATTTCATGGGGTTGATCAGAATGCATGCACTACACAGGCATTCTGATTAAGAAATGACTCAACTTGGGGTAAACTCTACCTTCTCATTGAAAGCAGTTGGCTTGCTGTCTGTTGCAGTAAAGAATATATAGGACGCTTTAGCCATCTGCACAAATGGCATAAGTGAATATACAGGACTCCTAACAAACAGAAGAACTGGAGACCTTGGGAGTGTGAACGAGTGATTTCTAAAGGCTGTGCAGATATTTACTTCATAGTTTTCTCTTACAGGGAGCCTCAGAAAAATAGCGTCAACTTCTCTCTCCCTTCTTGAATCATTCAGGTCTCTCTTTTGAGTGCTTTCTTAAACACACGGCCTTGCTTGTTCTGTTTACATTGCTGTGCATTTTAAGCAGGCCATGTGGTGGGCTTGTATGGCAATTCTCCATTACTGCAGACATGAATGAACTTTTGTGTTTGGTCTCACAACTTGTTTTCCAAGACGTCTGTTGCTTGGTTCTGTTTCCTGTTTCCAGGATTTGTTTTTTTTCCCTCTCTTTGTTAAACTTTTGCTCTAAGAGGAATTCATTTTTGAGTGCAGGAGCACTGAGAGAACATCAACTGATGACAACTTTGTTCCAGGATCTGTTTTAGTAGCTACAAACCTTTAGCTGCAAACCAATTTACCTATAATTCCCACCTCCAAAACCCAAAAAGGACAAGTGCTCTAGGTGCAAGCATGTGGGTATCATGGATCCAAACTTTATACAAGACTTTGTAGATATAATGGATCAAATACAACATTTCCAGACTGGAACTGAAGTGGCTGTTGTTCACTTTGCAGGTCCTTTCAAAACAATACCACTTCCACAAAAACATAACCTGGAAATGGCTAAAACCCATTTGTTTAAATCAGTATTCTACTGAGGCTTCTGAAATAAGCCAATGTCTTCTCTCTCTCTGTAATCAGGGTGAAAGGGAGTAATATCCTGAAAGTGGTTGACCACAGAAATGGGATCCAAAAGGATCGTGTCCAGAGGAGGAAGGGAGGGGCTGTGTGTGTGATAAGTTTGGTTTACGTTTTGGCCAAAGGTTTCAAAGAAGTTGTCGTTTTCCAACATCAATTTCAAAGGCTTTGTCTCACAATGAAATGTTTACACTTCTGAATCTGTGAAAAGATACATCTCTTCCTTGCAAAGCATGCAAAATTATTCTATAGTCAGTAAAAAGATAAAGTAGCCAGAAACATTTAAACTAGTAAACTGCTAAAAAAAAAAAAAAAACCTTAAATGATAATGTTGTGAAGGACTCACCTTTTTCTTGCTGCAATAGATCTGCCATTTCTTCTCAGCAGGCAAAGCAAACATGGCTTCCCTGTTTTTGTCTGTGAGATCCAGTTCATCCTGAGGAAAGGAGAGGACATGACAGCTGAGCCACACTTAACCTCAAAAGCAAAGATACCAGCCCTGTCTGTGTGTGTGGGGAGGATGGGTTATACCTGGTATTCCCTATATATTATGTCCCCTTGAGAGTAGTAATATAAGTCATTTTTGATGTTGATGGGACATTTTTTATGTCCCCATAAAGAAAACTGCTTATAAATCACACAGAAAAGAAAAATGCAGAAAGTTTTGTGTGAGGTAGTTTCTGTAAATAAAAAGTACATATATGGTGAAAAAATGATTCCTTCTTAATGTCTGTAGAATTTTTTCAAATGATCTGAAAAAATTATCTAATACAATATATAAATGTATTAAAATAATATTAAGTAATAATAATACAATTCTGTAAAATGAAGGGCTCCTTAATCATGGTACCTGAAACGAAAATTTATTTATTATTAACATAAATGAAACAATGCAAATAAAATTATATAAATTAAATATGAGTTACCACACATATAGGTAATTTGTGCTGAAAAGTTTATGTATTATGAATTACACTTACAGCAGTATTAATAAAAAATTTTCACTAGAACTCCAGATTAAGTTTCAGGAACTAAATTTAAAAGCATTCACAATTCAATTCGCAAACCTGCAAGTTCTCTATAAAGCCATTTGTGCTAAAGCTAAAATGTGTCAATAGTAGAAGGGGAACATAATATTAAAATTCCGCAACTCAAAAAAAAAAAATCTTATTTACCCATGGTTGAAGACAATTTTATTCTCCCTTAAGAATTCCTTTAAGTTGTCATTTGTATTTACTGCCGGAATAGAGCTTTGAACAAGATAAGCTATTCACCAAATATATACAGTCAGGATACATGACTGACACAGAGGCCAGGTTTTGAAAAGTAACTTACTCTGACAATGTCTGTTTGAAATGATGCAGTGAAAAAATATTTTTTTGTGAAAAATATAAAAGAAACATCAACAAATATTTTGTGAAAAATATCAAACCAGTTACCTTTTATAGAAGACAGAAAGAAAAGAGAACTACACAGAGAGTGTGAATTACAGAGTGAAATGGAAACAAAACTAAAAGCCATAAAAGCCATACAGTAATAGTGAGAACAAAAAGGCAGTGCTAAAGGGAGTGAGGTGCAGTAAAGACAGAGAAGGAAAGATTTAGAGATGGTCAAAATGGAAGGGAGTCATATGTGGCTCACAAGGGACTGAGAGAAAACTGTTTTAGCCAGTAGTGACCAAGCAGTAAGCCTCATGCATAGATACACAAAAATGGAGAATTAACAACTAAGAGGAATAATTTACCTGAATATGCAAACATACAGTAAAACCTACCATACAATCAAGTCTGATGTTAATGATTTTAAACATTTTTATATCTTGTGTATCTAATTTTTCACAACAAAACCATATTTGCATTTAATTTAGATCACATCACATCTGAGAGCTACGATAAAAGGAGAAAGACTAGCAATACAGTGACTCTCTATGGACTGCTTTCCTAGCATTTTTTTTTCCTTGTGGGAGGTCAACATACTCCCAGTTCACATTATGAAAGAGAGCATAATCTGTAAATTTAAAAAATATAATCTTTTGTGTTTTATGGAAAAATCAGTGATGAGGGGTTTGGACAACACAATTGTTAGTGATGATGGACTTTGCATTTTTGAGTGCATTATTACTTTAAGGGCTCTGAAAATGTGTAATACCAACTGAAACACCCTCAGCAACATGCAGTAATACTTGCCTTTAGAATAATAAAGTGAACCATACTCATTTAGGCTGCTCCTAAACTGACAGGAACAATCTTTCACAATGACTGCACAATCCTAAACTAATTTGTCAGACATTTTCTCTACTGGCCCACTCCCTTCTCATCCAGATCTAATCAGGCTCATTTACAGGGCGTAAATAGCAAGGTTCACTGAGGACAGTAGCCAGGAAGCTCATTGGCCGATATCACCACATTCAGAGCTCTCAGTCACAGAAATGAGGAAGAAACAAATCTGACCTTTCCACACCAGGAAGGTTAGGGAGCTGAAAGGAGGGAATGGTCTGTTCTGTTATTATGTCATGTTATTCTGTAATCTTCTCAAAATAATTTTTTGAAAACTCTCTGTCAAGCATCAGGCATCTGCAAAGGTTGTGTATGTGAGACTTCACTAAGCAATATTGCAATATTAATATTAAAACACTGATCATAGCATGTTCATTGTTTCTGGTTAAATGCCACAATTACCTTGCTGCATGATTTGTTTTATCCTGGAACTACACATTTCTACCATATGGACAGTATTTTGACAGTCACCTCTGATTACTCGTAATTGTAACGAAGAAACATGCATTTTCTGTAAAACTGCTTTGAAACAACATGTATCATGAACAGCCTGTTGGTATGTGGCCACAGGTAAAGTTGTTGTGCTTATATTTGGACTCTCAACATGACTGTACATTTACAGTACATTTGATATTATGTGACTTTTTTCTCAACAAGAACAAAGTAGAATCAACCGATGCTTGTCTCTGATAAACACGGTGGGTTGTCCCTTAATTAATCAGCTGATTTAGTGACACACTCATAACACACAAAAAGACAGTAACTGTTGAAAAATACCCTCAAAAATCTCCACAACTAATGCACAGAGTGACAGCTGGTTTGGAAAGGCACATACAGAGACAAGTGATATGACAGCAAAATATAAAAATTCCAATGCTTGTAGACTAAATATCGGCACACTTGGAATACTGCTTGGCCAATCAAAATCTTATAAAATGAATGATTGTGATGCAGTGGTTCTAAGCATTAAATAACAAAATATCATACCAACGAAAGGTTATTCATTTTAAAGAGATTTGTGAAACATGTTTATAGAGAGCCTATCAAACATGTATTGAAGACAACTGATATACAGTACAAGAGGGATGTGTTTACTATTTAGCTGCATATGTTGCAAATAAATATGTAAATGACTAGTAAATGTATCTTAGAATTCTAAAATTATGGAACGGTTTGGAAAGGCACATACAGAGACAAGTGATATGACAGCAAAATATAAAAATTCCAATGCTTGTAGACTAAATATCGGCACACTTGGAATACTGCTTGGCCAATCAAAATCTTATAAAATGAATGATTGTGATGCACAGTGGTTCTAAGCATTAAATAACAAAATATCATACCAACGAAAGGTTATTCATTTTAAAGAGATTTGTGAAACATGTTTATAGAGAGCCTATCAAACATGTATTGAAGACAACTGATATACAGTACAAGAGGGATGTGTTTACTATTTAGCTGCATATGTTGCAAATAAATATGTAAATGACTAGTAAATGTATCTTAGAATTCTAAAATTATGGAAAGGAAGATAACTGTGTTGGGAGAGCCACTTTTAAAAGTAGTTTTTTTGCGGAAAGTAAGGCTTTCCACTTGTTGCTTGTAGTCACATTTTATCAAGTAATTAGATTACATAACAGGCACTACCTGGCATATTTATATTACAATCACTCTGCAACCCCACAGATTTATAAAGTTAATAAATATGAACCAAATTATATACACGTCTGCGCACAACTTCACCAGAGTGTTTGAATTACATGTTTTGAATGATCTGCTTCTCATATCATATTCCAAAAAACTGTTAAAACTCTTAATCCTGTCAAACTGTGACCCAGTTCTGTCAGGTTTCTTAAAGCTTCCTGTGAGAGAATATTTATTTCATTACTGCAAAAAGTGCATGTTTTGACATATTGTTTGTTTGTTTGTTTAAATCTATACTCCAGAGTGAAAGAATGACAGCATTCTTTACCAAAAATAATCTATGAGTCTTTTCTTTGTGTATCAAGCATGAGGTTGCTCTGATTTACCTAACTGCTCCCATATGTTGGGCATTCTTCTTATTCTCAGGTCACCGTAGCCACCAGATCCAGTCCGTATCCAGCCCAGAAGTTGGATCAGCACCTAGAGACGACCTCTACAGCCATGAATTTCAGCGGAGACCAGGACAACTAGATGAGCCCCAGATACAGATCCCTAGTGAAGACATTGTCTCCTAGACGGCCATCGGGACAAGACCACGGAACCAGATGAGCCCTATACACATTCTAACTTTGCTACAGTATGGATCAACCTGCTGATTTGTCTGGACGGAGGAGAACGTCCGACTGAGCCTGGTTTCTCCCAAGGTTTTTTTCCAGCGATATCGTCGACTTGATTGCACAGATACTATTTAAACTGAACTGAGCTGGAAGATGACATCACTGAATTCAATGATGAACTGCATTAACTGAATATTGAGTGTTTACTATTGTCCTTTTGCATTGACACACTATTTTCCTATTTGGTACTGTAAAGCTGCTTTGACACAATCTTTCTTCGCGATGGCGCCGACTTTGATGGCTGCCTCCGTGGCGTGCTCCGCAGTTCTTTTTATGTTTTTGTTAGTTTGTCCTGTCTTTAGTTATATCCATGCAATCAGTTTCACCAGAGATGAATTGCTGGACATTCGGAAGTACACACCACCCGATATTTCACCGGTTTTTGATTATTCTGATGTTTTGCTAGACATTGTCGGGGGAGCTGCGGCGCTGATCAAACGCTTCAGGACGCGCAGACAGGGGAAGCGAGCCGGCGCGCTCATGAAGCTCAGGCAGCGCAGATTCAGGACGCTGTTGCCTAGCATCCATCTGGCAAACCTCCGCTCTCTACCCAACAAAACGGATTTCCATTTCTCCTGTTGTCAACAGATTTGTAAGGACCACCCATTAGCCCAACAACATAATTCAATGGTGTAGTGTACAGTAGGTCTGTCACATTTGGACCAGTCAGACACACAATTTTCATTAGATTTAACAAACCAATTATTCATCAGAGTAACAAATAATCACAGACCCCTCACCCAATAAACATACTGGGTGTCAGCATGTCTGTGTATGACCACAGGCCCCTGGTTACCATGGCAATCAGTGCACCTCAGCCAGATCAGATAAACTTTTACGACCTAAAAGTATGTAGAGAGAATCTTCCTCCCTACTCAGTTCTCTCTAAAACAGACACATACTGCTGTAGGAAATTACTTCTTTCATTAATTCATAGACAAATTTTTCTGACTTTCCTATCATGCATATCCCCAGGTCTTTGTGTATGAGTACTACCTCCTTGTATATGGTCTTGTGTATTGTATACTTGTATTGTTTTAATGCATGCTTATGACAGATCACTAGTTAATGTAAACTCACCTATACCATGTTTGGCCTCTATGAATTAATCTTCGGATTATCGAATTGAGAGTGTATATAATATGTGGATACCTATGCAACATGTTAGTGTTCTAAGAATCTTTAATAGTTTGCATATCTACATCCAATCCAGTTCCATATGCAAATTACCATGCTCTCAGACAAAGGGTCATAAAACCACCCAGTATTTCCAACCTCCCGCTTGGAAATTCAACCTTTCTCATTGGACAAGCCCATCCTGAGAGGCGTGACTCGTCTCAGACTTTAAAACGCTCACGCACAGTTCCGCCCATGTCATCTGCTAAATCTTCTGATTGCTGCCTGTGTGGAGAGCCTTAGCCGGTGCGGGCGTGCCCGGTGGGCTCCAACATATAGCCCTTCAGTCTGCAGTCCTGTTAGTTTCTGAGAAGATAAGGATGTGAGCTAGAAACTCTTCTGCAACCCTTAAGTCTGTGCTAGGCTTCGGCCTAGTCTTTCCATTCATCAAGATCCTTTGACTCAAAATGGTTATTTCTCATCACCTAACTTCAGCTGACCAACTGGAGTCCCAAAGTGCATCAGGACTCTCTTTCAAACAGGCGAGACGTGCAAGTATCAAACTTAGTTTTACTAATTGATACATTAAGTATTCATTTATTTACAAAGGTGTGTTTGAACTAAGAAACTGATGTTTCCTTCAGGCTGTAGATCTGCTGAATATCAAATTGTACCATAGCTTCATATCTTTATTTCTCTTCTCTTTACTGCTTAAGCAGATTTTTGCTACATGCTCTGAGTAGTATTGTACAATGAGAAAGTTATTTTCCTTAAACAGGAAAGTAACGTTCTTAGAATTGACAGACAGTGGACACTGAGATGTCAAGTAAATACTTACAGCGGATCTAAATATTTATAATTAATCATAACTAGTTATGATTGATTATTCATATTTCCCCTTTGAGCTGATTCGCTACAGGTCTTTTACTTGCACTGCTGCAGAGTTTATCTAATTTCATTAGGATTCAGTTTCAACTTGATTCTAACTCTTTGCTTAAACTGACTGCAGAGTCGTGGATCTCACAATCACAAACTCACCAGTCTGATCTTAATCAGAGGGTGCAAGTTTAACCATTACCTTTAAGTCGGTCACCTACTGCTTGCTCATAAAAAGTGTACTTTGTTTGGCCACTTCAATACAACTTGCTAAGTCAGTGCTAGACAGAAATCAAAAGATCTCCAGTACCTACTGTTCCTTATTCATGAGCATTCAGTATATTCTGTACTGGGCACAGATTTGCGTTAAAAGCCTCCACATAATCCACTAGTCATAATGATTTCAGGAGAGTACAGAATAAATCAAATATAACATTTTATTTGTTGGGTAAGAATGTATCATGCCAATTACATAATTAAACAATGAGTGTTCAACTCAACAAATGAATGCCAGTGGGTGGGGCCTACGGTGTTATGATGCATAACTATTCATTGATGTCTTGCTCTGAAAGCAGACATATACAGTGCCTTGCAAAATTATTCATACCTGTTAATTTTTTTCACGTTTTGTTATGTTGCTGCCTTATGTTAAACTGCTTTAAATGACTTTTTTTCCACATCAATCTACACTCCATACACCATAATGGTAAAGCAAAAAACAGTTTTTTAACATCTTTGTAAATTTATTAAAAATAAAAAAACTAAAATGATTCCATTGCATAAGTATCTGGGACAGTTGAAATTTAGCTCAGGAGCATTCGTATTGCTTGTAGATGTTACTACACTTCAAGGGAAGTTATCCTGTGGCAAATTCAATTTAATGGGTATGATTTGGAACGGCCCACAAACCTTAATAAAAGGTCTAACAGCTGATAATGCATATCAGAGCAAAAATAAAGCACTGAGGTCAAACGAACTGCATGTAAAGCTCAGAAACAGGTTTGTGTCAAGCCACATATCGGGGGAAGAGTTCAGAAAATAATTCTGCTTCATTGAAGTGTCACAGAAGCATGTAGTCTCTATTACCCTTAATGGAAGAAGTTTGAAACAACCAGGACTCTTCCTAGAGCTGGCCTTCTGGCCAAACTGAGCAACTGATGGAGAAGGGCTTTGGTTAGTGTGGTGACCAAGAACCTGATGGTCACTCTACTTGAGCTCCATGATCATATGTGGAGATAGGAGAAATCTACAGAAGAACAAACATCACTGCAACACTCCACCAATCTGGGCTTTATGGCAGTGTGGCAAGACTCAGTCCTCTCTTCAGTTAAGACACATGAAAACACACTTGGAATTTACGAAAAAGCACCTAAAGGATTCTCTGGTCTGATGAACCTCAATTCTAAGCATCATGTTTGAAGGAAACCAGCTCTGCTCATCACCTGCAGAGTACCATCCCAAAAGTAAAGTGTGCTGGTAGCAGCCTCATGCTGAGGGACTGTTTTTCAGCGGCAGTGACTGAGGGACTCGTCAAAGTAGAAGGAACGCTCAGTGTAGCAAAATATAGAGATAGCCTTAATGAAAACCCAGTCCAGAGTGTTCAGAACCTCAGACTGGGCAGAAGGTTCACCTTCCAACAGGACAATGACCCTAAGCACAAAGCAAGAGTGGCTTATAGACAACATGTGAATGTCCTTGATGGCCCAGCCAGAGCCTGGGATTGAACCCAGTAAAATATTTCTGGAGAAACCTGAAAATGTGCATCTGCCCCCATCCAAGCTGACAGAGCTTGAGAGGTGAAGAGATGAGGAGAAGGATGGCAGATAATTGCCAAATGCTGATGTGCAAAGCTTGTCGCATCATACCCAAAAAGACTTGAGGCTGTTAAGGTTTGTCAGCTAAATATTTAGTTATGCAATGCATTTATTTCAGTTTTTTACTTTTAATAAATTTACGAAGTTGTGACAATTCTGTTTTTGCTTTGTCATTATGGTGTATGGAGTGTAGATTGATGTGTGGGAAAAAATTATTTAAAGCAGTTTAACATAAGGCAGCAACATAACAAAATGTGAAAGAAATGAAGGGGTATGAATACTTTCGCAAGGCATATGCACAGAGATATATACATATGCATATGCATGTAACAAATCCCACAATGACCCTGAACTGAACTAGTAAGAATATGCCTCAACCTCAATAATGCAAGTCTGCATAGATTCCTAAAGCCTTATTTATGATCAACTTTTGTACTACAAGTGTTCCAAACTGCCTAATGTTAGAAATTAGATGCTAAAGCCACTGTGACACTGATTGCAGACAGTTAGCCCCTTGACTTTTCCACTTATGTGTTACATGGATTATGGATATGGATTACTTGAAAGAATAGAGTAATAAATTAAACATTTAACGGCATAAACCTGACCACCAGAATAGCTGGCAAATACTAACCACTAATTCAGAGAAACGGGCATGCAGCTCTTCCTCTGGGGGCATGGGGGCACTGAACTCCAGCAGCTGCAGCGGTACACTGTCTTTCAGGTTAATCTCAGGGTGTTCACTGCTGCTGAAGCAGCACATGAAGCCCAGGGTGGGCCGTGTGCGCTTCCGGGGAGGCATCCTCTCCAATCCGGAGGGGCCGACAGCCAGCGAGGCGAAGAGTCTGCTATCTAGGGGGCATGATCTGAAAGAGAGAAAAGAACCAATCAGGATTAAAACACACACACACACACACACACACACACAAGATGTCTACATAATCATTTATCACAAACTAGATGGTTTTAAATCTACTGAAAAACGTAAAGAGATAGTTCACCCAAAAATAAAAATTGTCATTGTTTACTCACCTTCATGTTGTTCCAAACTTGTATGAATTTCTTCCTTCTGTTGAAAACAAAAGATGATATTTTGAAGAAAGTTGGTAACCAAACAGTTGCTGTTAGCCATTGACTCCATAGTATTTTTTTTCCATACATGTCAATGGCTACCAGCAACAGAAGACAGAAATTAATACAGGTTTGGAACAACTTGAAGGTTAGGAAATTATGACAGAATTTTCATTTTTGGGTGAACTATCCCTTCAAGATGCATGTCAAGAAACTGAATACATGTGTCGAGCATTCAACCACAGAAATAAAAAGCCAAAAGCAACTCTTGAGCAAAGATGAAGCCTCCCATTAACAGTTTTGAATTCTCCCTTTATTTTTTATTATTATTATATATATATATTTTTTAAAAGCCCTCAATACTCCCTGATACAGTGTTCCCTAAACTCATGTACACCACTGATGTTGAATTTAAAGCCGTTTCAAAGCAGTCTAACAGCTTTAATTGCTCAACATCAGAATGGGAACATCTCACGTGCACACTTACCATAACATGGATTTTAGGATACCGTTCTAAGGGGGCTCTCATGGCACTCTGAAAGAGCAGCTCATAGATAGAATGGTGCATACCAAACGCAATATGTTTGAGAGTCACCAACTTGATCTAACATATAAAGCTGGAATGGCTAGCAGTAAATCTCTAGCTGAGGGGGCAAACACCCAGCTCTCACATGAGAGGGGAACTCGACCTACCGCATGTTCCAATGCTGGAACAGCTAGCAATAATTTACTTAGCTGAGGGAGCAACACACCCAGCTCTAAAACGAGAGGGAGGCTCGGACCTACAGCATGTTCCAATACTGGAAAGTGCGCAAAGTCTAGCGTGCACACTTACCACTTATGTGGATTTTAGAAAGTGCGCAAAGTCTTTAACGTGCGCACTTACCACTATGTGGGTTTCAGAAAGTGCACAGAGCTTAGCATGTGCACTTACCATTGCATGGATTTAAATTTCCAGGCATCTGATTACAGATACCCGGAGGTACTGGACCAAACGGGAGAGGCAAGCTCAAATACGACCCTCTAAGGCGAGGGGAGCACTGCCTGAGACAGCATTACACAAGAAGGTTCTCGCAAATATTCCCGCGCCGGAGCCCCGTTCAAGAGGCGACTCGAAGAAGCCTCTAGTCCAGACCATCAGCAAGGTGGTCACTATGAAGCCATAGAACCAACCAAACATATAGGTCCAGCATAGGAGACGGAAATGCAGGAAAATTCCTACCTAACCTTGGTCAGGTGGAGAGCTGGTGGTTATAGGAGAATTAGGAGCTAAGGGCAGATGTAAGACCCCCGAAAGAAACGAGTAGATACTCAAGTATCACTCTGATCCGGACGAAAGTGCTGATGCCTTGTCTGGATCACATCCCTAGGTCTTGCCTACCTCCCTTCTAACCCTACCCGCAGGTGGGGGAGGAGCACGAGCCGCGACACTAGCCTTCTGTGGCCATCTCTGATCCTCAGACCGAGACGGACCAGGACCCCTATGCTGTTCGGGCTTAGACCTGGACCCTCGTGAACTGAAGGACTGAAGGCCGCTGAGCGCGCCTTTTCCTTCCTGAACTTCTCGACCACCGTCTCAACAGAGGTAACCAAAAATATTCGGAAGGCGAAACCGGCGCATCGAGAAGAAAGCCCCTCTCTTCCATCCCGATATATGCCAGGTTCACCCACAGATGTCTCTCAATACCTACTATAGCTGCCATGCTAAGTACCACAGAGAGTGAGATCTGTGGTGAGGCAAAACTCAGCTACCTCATCAGGCCTTTATCCAGGTCTTCCAGCAGGTCAGCCTAATATGCCTGGAGCACCGCATTGTGCGCAACGACGCAACAGCCTGACCTGCTGCTGCGTATGCCCTGCCATCTAAGCGAGATGGCAAGGAGGGAGTTTTAAGAGAGGACGTCTCACCCATAGAAAGATAGCTAACCAGTCATCTTTTTTAGAGGGGCATCCTCTCATAGTCGTTTCCGCGCATCGCCTCGGTGTTGGCATAACTCGTATGCTAGAATCGATGAATGCGTAAGAAAGATAACGCTCAAAACTCACCATTCGCAGAGCAGGATGATTGGGAAGGCTCAGCCTCAGCTTCTTCGCCGTCCTCAGACATCTCCTGCTCTTACCGGGCCGAACCCAGCAGAGCACCGGCCCCCAGATCAAACGATGTTAAAGAAATAACATCATCCTCCAGCAGCTTACTCTCGTCCACAGCCGACGAGCGCAAGAGGGAAAACCCCTTTTTAAACTCATCAGCCGGATCTACCTGCGATCCCCATGAGCCCATCCTCCTCCGTGTACAATCGCACCGGTAGTGATGTCATGAGCTGTCGCCGGCCAACGTGTTGTTGGTGTTTTTTCAATGTATGCTTCAGACACGGGTCACGACGAGGCGTTCCCCATAGCGACCCCTAGAGGACGCAGTTCGAAGTTCCCTTGAAAGGGAACTGTATGTTTCAGAACTCAAAACTTTGTTTATAGCTTATATTGAAAGCAGTCTGCTTTTGGAAAGTTCTACTCTATGATAATAGTGTGGATAAGTGCCGCCTCCGCAAAAAGAAGATCGACATCACTGACTGTTTAGGCCCGCCCACCGATTCGTGCATAGTTCTTTCGAAAGAGGTGAACTGTGCCGACTATATTGGATCTGACAGTCATGTCCCAACCCACAAGTGTGAGTAACTGTTTTTATTACGTGTTCACTACTGCTTTGTCTGTTAAAAAGATTGTTTGATATATACAGAGTATTTATATGTTTTTAACCTAAATCACAGCAGTGTCCATCTGTGAAGGACGTAGACTGTCAGACATACACAAGCCAATCACGTTGGGCATTTACTTCCAAGTCTACAATCCACCATGCCTGTTCAAATGGAGCGTTATGATGAGGGTGGTCAAAAACAGAACAGAAAATAGTCTATTACTTCAAAATTATGATGTTTTTTTATGTAAAAATCTTGATAACATTATAAATGGACTTCAGAGAACAGTACAACATAAAAACAGAGGCAGTTCATGACCCCTTTAATATTAAAATAGTATGACATAATACGGTTGCTGGATTTTTGCCAGTCCAATGTGGTCCGGTAGCTATATCTAGCTTGTCCAAGATGATGTGCCAAGATAAATTAAAGGTGATCAGCAATCTAGACCAGCCTCAACTGGCTAAAAAACATGAGACCCAGATAAGGTTTCTGCTATATCAAGACGGCTGTCCTAACAAAAAGTGTTAGAGTTGAGAATGAATAATTTATTATAATTCAGATCAATTAATTTACAAAAATTAATAAAAAATAAAACAGGGGGGGGAGGTGTTAATGTTTTACCTAAGCTTGCTATTGGAATTGAATGTGATGAGAAAGACAGACTTAAAGAAAGACTGGTTGCCACTAAATAATACAAATAAACAATTAAATGAATAAAAAATATAGATTGTCACCGGTTACAACCAGCATAACCCTTTGCTAAAGCCTTAAAGCTACATTATAAATACATAAACACAGCAAATGAATAAAAAATATAGATTGTCACCGGTTATAACCAGCATAACCCTTTGCTAAAGCCTTAAAGCTACATTATAAATACATAAACACAGCAAAGACAAATGCTACTTTAAACTTTAACATTACATACATTTAGTATATAGCTTTAATAATTTACTGTTATTATGTCAAGTTTCAGATGCTTGTGAGGAGGGTTAGGAAAGATATTTCTGTGGCGAGTGAAGTTGCTGTCTATGTACATTCTAAATCAGTTGCATTATAAGGTTAAAGGTTAAATTAAAGATTCTGCCTCTTGTGAATGACCCCTAATGAATACATTACAGTTGTTTCATTAATTATATTGTAAACACCACTAATATAAATTAATACACAGGTACGGATGTGTGGAAACATTGAAAAACAACCAAAAATGTAATTTGTTCATACATGGATGTATAAGAATGTTCATGCTGTCTCTTATGCATTTTTTCCACAGGGCAGGACAGGGCATACGGGGTAACCTGTGTTGACTCTAAAGAGTGCAGTGGTGTATAAAGACAGACTGAGAGAATCCGACAGAGATGGTAAGGGGGGAGGGGGATGGCTGTTGCCATTTCTCAGTCAGCTCATGACCACATCACACTATCCTATGTGCTGCTGGAAGTAGGTCAGAGGAGGAGAGAGGGAGGAGCATTTCCTAACACACACTGCTCAAATGGTTTCTATATCTTGCATTACTTTTTCTTACTTGTGTGATTTTTCTCGCAGAATTTCTGCAAAATCCTACGTTTTCCCTTTCCATTTCTAGCTTTTCTTCTCAATGACATGCCAACAGAAACCTCCATATTCCTACTGGTGGATTTGAGACTCTGGGGAGGTTGTGCCACCCCTAGTTTCTAGCCAACCATAAACAAAATTGGTAATGTGACCACAAATATTTTAAGAGTAATCCATTTTACTCTGATGAAGAGAGGCCAATGAAATAATTACATTTAAGTAAAAAAAAAAACATGCAGCACAATACGTTTTTTTATGTTTAAGGACTCGTGCTACTTGTGTCTAAACAATTACAAACACATTTTTTAAAATATCACATTTTTAATCACCCTCCAGGGGTGGTGCCGCTCTTCTCTCAAGAAATATGGCACATAATCTTAGAGTTTGTACATGACTAACTGGGGCCTAGGTCAGGAAGCAGACAGACTGTCTAAACCGACCGTCTGCTAGCCGCCTCACATCACAAAAATCAGTTTATTCTCAGCACATAGAGACTCTTTCATCTAGATATCACACTATAGAGACTGTGTCTGTTCCCCGAACTAGAAAATACAAAAAATGTCCAAACCAATTAAAGAGAAACAATTTAATAGATGTTTAACAAATTAAAAAAAATTATATAATACAGAGAAACAGAGTGCTTAATAAACAAACTCCAGCTGGTCCAAAATGCAGCATCTAGAGGTCTTACTAGAACTAGGAAATATGACCATACTAGCCCAGTTCTGTCAACACTGCACTGGCT